ACATGAGATGGACAACAGTCTTGGGAAAACTAACTTTGCAAAGCACGTTTCTGTTAAAATAGCAAAACTGTGTTGTTTTTTTAACAAGTCTATGCAAACTTATTTCAATAACCTCTGCTTTTAATTTTTATTGATACCTATGAGTAATTCTATTTAGAAGGTAAAAGTTTAAACTACTGATCTTCATAGCTTCATTCACATTATTTACCAATTAAACATTTGTCTTAAAACCCAACATAAGAAGCAAGAAGTGCTGTATTAAAAGTAAAAATACTGGATGGAAGATTCACTGTTAGGAGTCTTACTGTTTAAGTTGCTAAGGAACTGAATGGTTTAAATGTTGTCTACATATGTGAAACATTTATAAAATTGTGAAATCCATCCAGAGCTTGTGTCTACATAAAATATTATAATCTCTTTTTTTAGAATAAAAAAGTCTAAAAATTGTAATAATTCATTTTGAAAGTTCATTCTGTTAAGAAAATTATAGGTTCTAATGATAGACGCATTAGTAATACAAAAGCATTTGTTTGGGTAACTTGTAATTGCTAAGCTAATTACTGTAGTGATGCTAAAGAATGTTACTCTCAAACCCTTTCATTATCTCAATGCAAAAGAGTAATCGTGAGAGTTAAAAGCGTGCCTGGGACCAGCTGACTGTATTTTTAGTAAAGGCTTAAGGTAAATTGCATGTAACAGCTGAAATTAAAAAAATTGCTTTTCTATGTTTTATTAAAGGTGGTAGTGTTTGTGCTTAATAAACTAATTATTCCAGGACTGTAAGTTATTAAAAACTTCTTGATCTTTATTTTGTAGAATCAACATCTGAGGAGACTGGACAAAGTGCAAAAGTGCTCAGGAACAGGACGTGTATCATTAACTACAAGAAGCATATAAAGCTGTCTAATGTGACTGAGAAGAAAAATCCACGCAGATGTGCTACTTTGGCAGCTAATAAGATTAAGATAATGAGCGATACAAAGGAAGAATTATCAAGCTCAGAAAGTGTTTACACAGTGAAAAAGAACAGAAGGCAGCTTCATGGCAATGTGTCTGCAGCATCCAGGAAGAGACTGATTGGCAACTCAGAGATGGATGCTTGCTTGAAGTCTGAAAATGAGAAAGAACAGCTTTCTGGCAGGAAAAAACTTGCTTGTCCTGAAACATCTGCTCCTAAAAGAAAATACATTAGTGAGTCTGAGAATGAAAAAACAGAATCTGAGGCAGAGATAAAAGTGACTCAAAAGCAGAATGATGATGACTACAAGCAGGCACAGAAAACAGTCTGTGCTGTAGCTCTTAAAAATCTCAAGTACGACTCTTCAGAGGAAAATTCCGCAAACCACAAGATGGAAAACGGGAGAAACTGGGGAAGTTCTAGTCCATCAACTTCAGCCTACAACCATCATATGAGCAACTCTGAAGAGGAGGTAGATTCTGACTTAGCTAAACACGAAACTAAAAATATCAGAGAAGGATCAAATAAAAAATCTAGAGCCTCTTTCAGAAGATCAAAGCTATTGGATGACTTCAAAGAAACAGCAGAATCTGAAACAGGAGGGAGGAAAGATGAAAAAAGCTCAGTATCGGAGACTGTGGAAGCACCTGGGACTGCAGGAAGTTCAAAAGCCAGTTTCAATTGTTCCTCTGATTCAGACTCTGGAACTGATAACAGTATCTATAGTGATGCCACAGAAACAAGAAAGAGGAAAAGGAAATCAGAAATTGTTAGAAAAGATATTCCCAATTCCAGCCCACCTAAGCCTTCCAGAAGACCCCAGCGAAGGAAACGTTGGAAACCTAACCAAGAAAATGACTCTGAAGATTTGGATTACACCAAATACAGAAGAGCTAATCGGCGTTCTAAGATAAGAACTCGGAACGGCGGTAGACGGACTGTGAGATACGATGATTGTGATGACGACGATGATGACAGAAGTTTAGATGATGCAGATTGCGAAACGTAACCTTAAAAGGAAAAGCCAGCCCACTTTTTTTTTTTATGGTAATAGCACTAGAACTCATGATGGATGCTGGCTCTTCTTTGTCCTACATTTCAGGGAATATATTTATATTTTTCTATGAAAAAGTTATGAATGTGATTAGATGATGACTTTCTCCTTTTCATATTTTGACTTGCACTTGCCTGCCCATGTAGCAGCATTTAGCACAGATGCCAAAATGTGCCTCATTATAGGGGCAATTTTTTGTCTTTACTGGTATTTTATTACATATAACAAGAGTTAAAATGTTAAAACACTGCGCAACAGGTTAATAGCAGTATGTTGAGTATTATTGTTATGGGTGCTGCAATGGAATACTACCTAGGTCATACAACATTCAAGAACAGATTTCAAACATCTCTAATGCTGTATGAAATCATATACAATAGTAACAGGCTTATAAATACTATACACTATAAAAATCTGGCAGATGCTAGCATTGCATCAAAAAAGTAATGAGCGGTCAGTACGCTAATAACTTCACAACTTGCATTAGTACAGATGTGAAATGTTCTGTACTTCCATTACTGATAACATGCAATTAGAACCAGTTACCAGTGAAAAAGCGTATTTGCCAATTAAGAAGGCATATTGGTGCTGGTAAAGAGAGGGTTTATGCTGACAGGTAGTACTATCATCATTAATGTGACTTCTATACTGTAAACTTAAGAATATGAAATGCAGGTGAACTCTTGGGCCTAAGGGTTTTTGTGTGTTTTCTTTATAAAATAGAAAAACAAACAAAACACTTGTTCTGTTTTCTTTATGTCTGAAAAGCTTGAGGTGCAGGATTCTTACATTCCAGACCTTTTTGCTACATGTCTGTGGTTCTTCCATATTTAAACTTTTAAGTACTTTAATGTTAGACTTCTCATTGATTAAACCTTCTCAGTTTCCAATTATTGCAGTACCACTCCTATTTCCAAAATGTTTGAGGTGGCTGTTATTATTAGTAGGAAACAATTCTTGCAGAGAAGATAGGAGAAAATTTCTCCAGGAAAATGTGTAAATTCCTGGTTGGCCATGTATCGACTACGGGAATGCATAGCACCTCTAAACTCTTACCTTGCTTTTTCCCTGGAGCTGTGCTGGCAGAAGCCCCACGGTCGCTGCCTTCAGTCCAACACCAGGTACTTGGTGATCTCCGCTCCTTTCCCCCTCTCCGCTGTAGGTTTCCTCCCTCTGCTCTGCTGGTTCCCTTTCCCACACTCAGTAAGACTTTAGTGATTCCTAATCTCATTGGTAGAGGTGTGTTAGAATATTAGATTTATCCTAACCCAGCTCACTTGAACTGAAATAACAGGTTTGTGAATTAGTTTTCCAGCAGATTGGGCTGGTAGTAGCATCCGGAAGGGGTTTGGGGAAAAAAACGAACAAACAAAACCCAAATAAAGGTAGTGCAGCTGCAAAATCAGTCATTAATGGCAGAACTGCTTGTACAAATAGAAGTGGAGTAATGGGAAAGGGAGTCCCACCCACATGCTGCTCACCAGCGGTTGGTGAGGACCACTTCTCCAGCAGTGTCGCTGACATCATGTGCCAAAAGGTGTATTTACCATCACATCATTTTGGTGTCTAAAATGTTATCTCGGTACAGAGAAATACTTCCTCTCCCCTCCTCCCCCTCCCTTAAGACTTCTATACAAAGTCCAGAAATAACCTCCTTTATGTCATTCTTGCCCCGGGAATTTTCTTTAGAGCATAGTCTTTAATATGACACAGAAGAATTGTGTAAATTCAAGATACATGTTCATCTGAATTTAAGTTGGTTTCTAAAATATGAACGCGGTTGTGTTTAGCGATGAAAGTTTGAGGTGGCTTTGTGTGTCTTACCTTCTAGGGGCAATTTTGTTAAAAGAGAGTAAATCAACTGGTATTTTTATATTATCCGTAAACTGAATGCATTGTTCAGCAGCCGCTTATGATCAATGTTCTGTGGAGTATAACCTCCAGTATAGGAATAAATACTGGTACAATGGCTCTTCGGTGAACGTCAGAGTTTTTATTAATCTTAAATTTAAACGGCTAAAATTGGGCTGGTAAGTTTTGTGTTTCTAATTCAGGCTTAAATTTTAAAAAGGTGGTTTTCTTTCTCGCCCTTTTTCAGGTGCTGTGTTCTCTGTTGTACCGCACGTGTGCTACATGTTCATGGTGATCCCTGAAACCTGGCAGGAGGTTCCAGCCTCTGCATTTATGTATCTGAGAGGGAATTACTGTCCTAGGGACTGTAAAGCTTTATTTTCTAAGCAAAGCACATCCTACTTTGTATTTCCTAATTTTATACATACAGACAGGTCCCGGAGAGCCAGTAGGAGGGAAAATGATTAAACTCGAAAGGGGCTTTCACTCTTTCAGCTTTTTAAGAGTTTGAATTTTGGGTTTTGTTTATTTATTTAAGTGAGCACACTTACTCTTAACAGAACTGGCTCTTCCAAGCCTTGCAGAGAGCAGTTCTTCCATCTGGAAGTCTTGATCAGTCAGCATCCTTTATTTGCTCTGGCTGTACTCAGGGAAGTAAAGTGATGTAGTAGACCTGTAACAGTACTGTCTTTACTTACAAGCAGCTTAATGCGGTGCGTTTGTGGGGAGGAGGGGGCCGGTGCCGGTGTTTGTTTTAAAGCAGGACCCGAATCTGCGGCAGCGACGAGGCTGACCGGCAGCGCCAAGGGAGGAAAAGTACGAAACGTGGAGCGTGGGGGAATCAGTTTCTTCCAGTATTTAAAGACTTTCACGCAGTAGGCGTACAAGCGGACCCGAAGTCAAGCTACACCAAAGCCCGTGAGGTCCCCGTGCCCTCCCTGGCCGAGGGCCGGTACGTGTGACGGGCGCGCTGGTCCCCCGCGCCCGCTCCCTTTTCAGGCGGGCGGAAAAACCGGACGGTCGCCGCGCCCCTGCCCGCCCTGGGGGGCCGCGGCGGCACCGCCCGGGGCCGGGCCGAGGCCGGGGCGGTGCCGGCGGCGGGGGCCCGGCGGCCGCTCCGGAGGCCTCCGGCGGACCCGCACTATGGTCTGCGGCTCTGCCAGAGCGTCGCCAAGCGGAGGCGAACTCGGTGGTGCCGGCGGCGAAGCGTCTTCCCGTGGCGCAGGCGCGCTGAGCGGCGGCCATGGCGACCTTCTTCGGGGAGGTGGTGGTGGCGCCGTCCCGCGCCGGCGTGGACGACGAGGAGGAGGCCCGCGAGGAGAGCCCCGAGGACCGGGAGATCCGCAGGGAGCTGGAGAAGAAAAGGTAGCGGCGCGGCGGGGGCGGGCTCGGCCCCACGCGGCACCCCGGCCGCGCTCCTCGCCGCCGTGGGGCGGCCTCCGTCCCCCCGCGACCGATCCGCGGGGGCGGCCGGGGCCGGGGGAGAGCTGCTCCACGTCCCTCCGCGTCTTTTTCCAGGGAGGTCGACGTCCTCTGGACCCTGAAGCCGGGCGCGCCCACGGAGGGCTCTGCCGAGGGGCCGTTCGTGTGCTCTAGGCTGATAGTGGCGGTGGGACACAACGCCGCAGGTGGGTGGTGCCGGCGGCGGAGACACACCGAGATGCTGCTGCTCTTCTGCTGTTCGCGTGGGAAGGAGTCGGGTGCGAGTGTGGCAGCACGCTCCCTTTGCTGTTCTAGCGTTGGTCTCCGGTACAAGAATGGCCCTTAAGGGTGGCCGGGTGTGCGTGTAAGGAGCGGAGTTTTAACCCAGAGACAGCTGAGCTGTCCAGAGAAAAGCAGTTAGTCTGTACACGTGAAACACAGCTTCTGTTACAGCTGCTTATTGCTCCTGTCAGATCATGGTGCAATGGATTTTCAGTTGAAGGGCAAAAGCAAAGTATGTTTTGGTGTTGGATTTTAGTCGGGACGACCCTCCTTTTCCCTTATCTGACTTCTGCTTGGTAGCTTCTGCTGGACTGTCAGTTGGCAGAAGTTTCCTTCTAATAGTAGCGCGTTGCTCGCTGCAGTCTAGCATTTTGAAATAGGGATCTGTCAGAGATGTAAAATTCTGGATCAATAAGAAGTAATTTCTTTATTTTTTTAATGAGCTGATACATTTATTTTTTTTACTAGATCAACTAGTCCCTTTTTCACATTCTAATCCCCCCCACTTGTTCATAATGCCCCTCTTTTGAGGTGAGTATTTATCCATTAGGCCTGGAGTCTTGGAACACCCTCTCCTCGCGCATATACCAAGGTCTTTAGTTTTTTAATAACTGTTTCCCTGTGGATGTAAAGAAGTTTTAAGTCTTCCTTACATTTAGGCCACATCTAGATGGTGTTTAGGTGATACCTAAGTTCACTTTGCTAACTTGTTTTTAACTTGTTCGGGTTTTTCCTTGAAAAATAGCTAGATCTGTCTTCTGTTTAATAGTAACTTTTGACAGGGACTTGACTTATGAACATTTGATGTAGGATAAGACATGCATACTCATGTCTCTGCTTCCTAGAGCCTGTGTAATAGCTCTGCCTTGCTGGCTCAGTGAGAGAAACATGTTGTATCTGCTATGTCAAGAAGTATTAGAGACTTAATATTTACATCCTTAGTGTATACAGAAGGAATCAAAGTTGACTGTGGTGATATAATTCTTAAGAATACATGTTTTTGATGTTGGGCATCTCTGTATGTAGAACTGCTCTTGATCTTTTAAGTCTCAATATGGTGAGGTTACTTATATTCTTGATCTTTACTGAATTTGGTCAATAAATGTATGTTGATAAAAAATAAGTTACTACATTTTTTTTTTTTTACTTGAGATTGCAAAGAAATAATCTACTTCAGGTATTTATTTGTAGAACAGAGATTTTTATTCTTTGTAAATTGACAGTGTTTATTGGTTTTTGCAGCTTTCCTGTCTTCCTTTATTCTGGATTCTGTATGTTGGGAAGTAGTTGGAGTTGTGAAGTTGTGGAATGAGTGGTGTCGAACATCCAACACAACAAATGTCCTCCCAACAGATTCCTTCTGTTTGTTTTACCGATCAATATCAGATCCGACAGTAAGTGACTTATAGGCATATGAATTCCTCTGTGTTTTAGAATTCTGAAAAAGAGAGCAACCTTCATCTACCCCCTACCATGCCCAGGGCAAACAAAGCATTAAGGCTGCGGTATTCTGGATTAATCTTGCAAAAAAAATCTGAAGAGTCATTATGCTTGCCAAAACTATTTAAAGTTCTGGCATGTGAAGTTCAGTATCAAGATGATGTGTGACAGCCTGATTGCTTCACATGAGTTGTGCATAAAAAAATTCTTGTTGTGTGTGAAAAATTCTTGTTGAAATCAAGTTGAAGAAGCACAAGAAAACTGAACAAGTTGTTGGTTGCGGTCACATTATCTTTACACATGATTATGAGTTGTTGTTGTGTTCTTTAAACCACTTGCTTGTGCAACTACTTTTTTTTTTTTTTTTTTTTAAGGTTTTGTTGTGCCAGTGTAGTTGCTATGTTGCTGAGGACCAACAGTTCCAATGGCTTGAAAAGGTAAAACTGGCAGGACAACAAATTGAGCAATGAAATTTTAGGGGTGGGAATCTTCAACTTAATGCAAGTGCCTGTTAATCTCTGATATTCTAAACATGACAGCATTGTAAATAACTGCTTTCCTTGTGGCTTTCTTTTCTTAAATAATCAACATAGGACAGATTTACTATCTACAGATTCTGTGAAATTCCTTTGTTGTAGATGCTGCCAGTTGTATCTGCTGTAACTCACCAACTTTGTGCAGTTACTTCTTTTGGTCAGTTTTAATATTGTTGCCCTTAGCTACATTCCAAACTTTTCCTGTTCGGTTTAATTTTTCTATGGCTTATTTCAGCTGCCTTCCAGCTCTGGGAGAATCCTTCCTTAAAAAAAACCAACATAACTGCGTTTGTACGGCTGCCAGAGGATCACCAGACAAGCCTGTTGTGAAACTGATGGTGGATGGTATTTTTACTAATGGGTGTGTTCTTTTCCTTTCACAGGGGGCTCTGAAGGGAGGTGTCTCCAATGCAGCATCTGTCCCATTTGTTCATAGACTTAGTATGCTAAGTGCCTTATCCCAGCATCATTCGGGTGCACGAATGCTGCTGGGTCATTCAGGTCCCTCCAAATACCATCATGTTAATTTTAATAAGATAAAGCCACGAGGGGAATATTCTGGCTGTTGATTTTCTTTATGGATATGGGTCACTGCTTAGCCTCAAGGAAGTATGGCTTATTTTGTCTTGCTGTCTGTCTGCTAGCCTACCTTCCTTTACACCTCTGCTGATACGATGAGCAAGCAGAGATTCTAAAGCTATTCTGTTACGCTGGAATTGTGTAAGACCATGGCTAGAGCTACAAAGAGTGAGATGAAAAGCCGTGTGTCCACTGAGAGCAAGTCCTCAGCCTGAGCTGAGCGATACCTGCTCAGTGTAACCTGCCAGCTGGCCCAGCCAGCGCATGAGAAGGGTTATTCCGTTGCGAGGGGGAACCATACGAGCATCTCGGTGTGAGAGAGCCAGAGAGATTATAGGAAGGCAAAGGAGATGGAAAATTGTGGTGGCTGCACTGAACGATACAGGGTTTTCAGATCCAAGTTGGTGGAAAATTAGCCTTTTGTGGTTCCTTGGCTTGTTGAGATGCATTTGCTTTGGTGGGGGGTACTGTTTCACTTTGAAGTTTAGAAGCCCTGAGACCTAAAACATTCTGGTTTTGTTGTGTTCCATGCATTCTTGTACTTCGTTTCAACTGGGATCACAAAGAAAGATGATTGTGGTTTTACTGTCTTCCCCATTTGCAGTTTTCCAGCTGTTTGCACATGTGTTATTTCAAACGTGGGTGTTCACGAACAGTAGGAGTGTACAGTTTTACCAAGTCGATGTTCTTGAGTATTTTTAGACTTCATGGTTATTGGCATTTTTAAATACACAGCAAAAAACATTGTGCTGGTAATCTTTTGCTTGTTGTGTGAGTTACAGACCTGATCTGTATGTGTTGTAAATTCTGATTCACTGACCATCTTCACAGTCTCCAGGAATCAGATTTGTACTTCTGTATGTGTTTCCTCAGTAAGTGATCACTGACAAAATGAGAACATACAGATTAAAGTTTTGCAATAATGCATGCCAGCCAGTGTTTCCAGCAGATTAAATTGAAAATATGTGTGCTTCTGAAAAGTTATATCAGTTTTGTATTACAGTGATAACACACTCCTGTGAGGGAACAGTCAGCTTCCCTTCTGTGATTGGTACCGTATACAGAAACAGGCGAGTTTCTGTAATGTCTATCAAATTCCCTATTTCCTTATTGACCATATATCTGAAGAGGGCAGTGTAAAGGGAAGGTGCAGGTTTATCGTGCTTCTGCTCATTTTGACATGTGTTCTTTAAAAATAGTGGAACACTGTGCAGCATGCTGGTGTTTTGTGATGGCATGGCATGAAATGGCTCCAAAATATGTTTTGTACAATGTTTTTGAAACTCTTCTTTGAATTTGAGGAAGAGTGTGGAAAAATGAAGGTTCTCTTTCTTAATTCAATTTGAACATAATGAAATTAAATTATTTAAGACTCTAAGTACTGTAGAGCATCTAGGGAGCACGATTTCAATTTCAGATGTCTCACAGCTTACTAAGCTGCCTTTCTGTCATAAGCAGACTGGTTTTATTTGGAGTCCTCATTTGTTCTACAGTCAGCATTAGTAAGAATAGTAAGTATTAGTATATTTGCAGGTGAATAGAAAGTGATGGAAAGTTAAAGCATCTCAAGAAAATCAGTAAACTTGGTAAATGTTAGTTGTTCTTTCAGGTTTTTCATCTCCATCCCAATAGCAATGCATATGAAATTTCTACCTGAACTTTGTGATTTAAATTTTAGTTAGACTTGCAAACCTGTATTAAACTGCCCTCAGCACTGAAATGGAAATGAACCTGTCTGGGTTTATGTTGTTATTGTGAGAAAATAGATTTTGATTATGTGTTGACATCTTTATTTCAGGTTTTTGGCTGTATACGAAAGGAGGGCTTGCAAGTCACCATTCTGTCAACGTGTCCTGTAGCTGATTATAAAACTCAGGAATCCACTTTAACACTTCCATCTCCATTTCTGAAAGCCTTGAAGACAAAAGAATTCAAAGAGCAGGTGTGCTGCCCACTGCTGGAACAACCTAACATTGTGAGAGATCTTCCTGCTGCTGGTATTTCACAATTCTAGTTATTTACAAGTCTGCTGGTGGCAACACAAAATTCACTTTGAAGGACATCCCACTGCAATTTGAATTTTTACTTAGTTGTGTGAACTGGCTTACAAGTCAGCTTTCTGAAAATTAATTCCTAACAGTTTGACATCTTACACGTTGCCTTGTAAAATAGGGAAAAATTTCAAAACCACCCATAAATCCTTTTACCCCTTACGTGTGGGACTTAAGTATTAGTAAAAAATTCTTCAGTATAGCCTCACAAAGCGTATTGTATATTGGAGTTTTTGGGCATTTTACTTATGAACTAAGTGTGTTCTATTAAGAGCTCATCTGCGCATCCAAACTGTAGCTTATAAAGTCCTGCCTGGATATTACGGGTAAAGTAGGTTTGCCAGTGCTAGTGATCTACCTTGTGTAAAAGTTAGACTCGGTTTTATTATGTAATGTGATAAAATGCCAGATTTTTATTAGACAGTACCAAATTAGGCAGGAGCTAAAAGTGGATGATTTTTCTAGAAAAAGTTTATCTTGTTCGCTGTTAGTTTTGAGTTTTTATGTTTGGTTGGTTTTTAGTTGTCTGGGGTTGTTTGTTTGTTTGAGGTGGGTTTGGGGGTTTTTGGTTGTTTTTGTTTGGTTTTTGTTTTGTTTTTTTTTACAGAAGCTCATACTATTTTTGTTTACCAAGAATACACAGTTTCCAGTTAAGATTTTTTGCCAGGAAGAAATGCCAACTGCATTTTACTAATTTTTAGTGTTTTTTTCTGTACCTGAGAAATGAAGGATGGCTGGTCTCCCAGTCAGGAACCTCAGTAGTTAATTTATAAACTTCAATGCTTTTGAAGTTCTGGCCAGAACAAGTGTGATTTTATACACAAAACTGATATTACTTCTCTGCTGAATGTAACACACATTTTTCTTTTGACTTGTATTTAGTTTTGAGTTACTGTCAAGTATGGCAGGTTCCTGCAGTGCTGTATCAGTGTTACACTGATATCATCAAACTGGACACAGTTACAATTGAAGCCTTCAAGCCTCTGCTTTCTTCTAAAATCCTGAAGAGTTTAGTCAAGGTAAAATTTTATATTTAAAAATTATTGGGAAGTTTGATCTATTTTTGTCTGTCTTTCATCTCTGCATTCTGCTGTTGATGTGCCCCTATAAGGATTCTACCTGAAAAGGCAGAAAAATACAGACTTTAATGACAGACAGCAATGATTTCTGGTATAGTACCTGCTGTAACATCTGTTTGTAAGTTGCTTAGAAATAATGAATCTGTATGTCTCTCAAAACTCATTTTGACTTTTCAAGCTATTCTAGTGGTACTAGTATATGAGGGTGTGATTTCTTGTGATTGTTTGAACTGCAGTTTCCTTTGGAGGTGTCCCACATTAAAACCTTTAACTATCTATTATTTTTTTTTTACATTCATATGGAGGATGGCTCTGTTCTAGGTCTGCATCTACCTGGTTTGTGCCTTATGTGAAAGCTTCTTAAGAAATTTATTTTGACCTATAACTTTTTTTCTTGAATTAAAAAGCTGAATTCCTAAAGATGATTCTTAACAGTTTTACACTAATCAAGCACCTGTGAAGTCATAGCATTGTAGCTACTAAGGTGAATCTTTGTCTGAAATGTTTATAATTGAGTATAGGTGGTTCAAAACACTCTCAGTTGTGCCAGTTGAACTTACACACGAACCTCTTCTGTCATGTAAATGTATTGAAGTGTTTATTTCAGCTTTAGATATGGGGACTGCAAGTTAGTTTTCATTACAGCTTATGCTATTCTGCTGAATAAGTCTAAGAGGCTAGTACATACGTGTTTAAACTGATGGAAAACAACAGCAACTATGCAGGCTCTTCCTCTTTTATACAAGCGAGGAGGAATGCAGATTAACAAATCTCATTCTGTGGTTGAACTGCAAATTCATTTGGAGCCTTTAGCAGGTCTCTGGATACCTTCATTCAGAAGATCCGAGTTTCACTCACAGTTTTCATCAACTGATACTCAGAGTAATAAAAATTGGAATAGAGGACAGTGAGGTTGTTTTGTTTTGTTACCAGCAATGTCTCTAATGCTGATTTATCTCTTCCTTTTCCCAGGATGTATCTGAAAGCACAAAGATTTTGAAGAAGTTACTGACAACTAATGAAACTCACAATAATATCTATATTTAAAGAGGACATTTATGACGCAGACTGCACTTTTGTAAACTCCAGTTTCTTCTGTAAAGGACATTTTGGAATTGTAGTTGTTTCCTTAGAAGTGGAATAAATTCCAGTAGATTTTCTGCCCTCATTTTTGTTACTTTCACATTCATCACTACAAACACATATATTTCTTCTGCATGGCTTGGGAGACTTTCTTCTGGAGTGATTTTAGAAAAGATAGCCTGAATATGAAAAGCAGCTTCTTTTTCCCCTCCTGAAGGGATAGTCTAATCTAAATGTATACCTTTTACATGTAAAAGCAGAAATGCAGTTAAGGAATTATGTCTGTATCTAATGAGAACACCTATTTTTTACTTTATTTTGAGACAAATGTTTTCCAAATATTCGATCCTCTTTAAAGATTTGACTGTGATGGAGAAAATATGATCTGCATCTTTTTACATACGTGTATATTATTTTGTCTGTGTCTGTGTATGAATGACACATATATATGTACATGTGCACATTTTTTATATATGTGTTGATACGAAATATAGTAAGTAAAGTATGGTAAAGGTATTTAGAACATAAGGGTAACAGCTTCAGAGTTCTCTACCAGGTTTTACTTTGACTTGCACTGGATGCCCAGTGGACATACTTGAACAGCGTATTCCTTTGACAGAACCGTCATCCCCCCAGGTTTGAAAGTGGTTGGCTTAGTCAGCACCCACTGAAGCAAGTAACCCCCGGCTTCAGCAGGCCCCCTACAGCTTCTGGTTTTGGAAATTTTTAACTGTACACTGCATCACATTTGCAACAGTAGTAGAATATTTTTGATGTGGATATCAAGTTGCCTGTCAGTTAAGACACTGATTTATAATGCTCGAAGTGGTAGTGTATTTGGAACATACTGAAGCATGGAGTGCAGGACATGGTTCCTTCTTTTTTTTTTTTTTTTTTTCATTTCCCGTTTCTGTGCAGCATTTTAATTAAAATCTGTTTGTGTGGGTGATTGGAGGTGAGAATTCTCTTGCTCTGAAAGAGTTGCACATTGATTGCACCATTTTCTTTCTTGCTTAATGAACATGTTTGATTTGTAATAAAGTACCTAACGAAATATATTTAATAATAAAAATGCAGGCTCTTACAGGAACTGTAAATATATTTCTAGTGCTGCTTTTATCACCCATGGAGTTAACTACCTGGTTTTATGCTGAGGTATGAGAATACTCTTAAACACCTTCAATAATAAAGGCAAACAAAACACTCTAGTAACTCGGAAGATGCAATTATAAAGACTGAAAACTGGTGCATTGCCAGAATGCTCCAAAGACTGATTATTCTTGCTTAAGGGTGTGATAGCTCTCCATAGCTGGAAATGTTAATGTAGAATGGTGGTGTTTCTTACATTGGATACTACTGAGCTACTGGTTTCACCCTGTGTATCCAGGTATGTTTCTGTGATCCACGTCATAGATGAGGTCAAGCTTTGTGCAATAGTAGTTCTCTCTGGTGTGACACTACATAGGCCAGGGCATGTGCATACCGTGTACTGAGTAAGACTCCTCCTTGCCAGTGTCAGCTGGGTTGTGCTGTATAAATCTGAAACGTCAACCTTTTCCAGTACACGTTAAGTACTATAGGGCAGTGAAAGGAGATACTTCAATTTAAAATTCCTTATGTCTTTTTACGTAATTTGGTGTATGAAGTAGCTCTCATTCTCCCCCTTAAATAATTCTGGAAGCATCAGAAATAGTGATGCCTGAGGCCTGAGTATCTCGTAAGATGTGAGCATTGGCAGAAGAGTTTTTCATAGCAGAACATTGCGAAGTCATTTGGTTTTTTGTTTTTTGTTTTTATTTTTTTTTCCTCCTTCTCTGCTCTCCAGTATCTAGTAAGAGCCTGCAATAAGGTTTTCTTTGTTTCTAACAGCTGCCGGTTTCTGTAATACTTGCAGGAGTGTATAAACTTGTCAAGTGTGGCAGATGGCTTCAGAAGCCTTGGGGGAAGAAGCACATTCTTGCTTGCATGTCTGAAATGAGATTTGTTTCATTAAGGTGTACTGGTCTAAATGCAAATAATGAAACCAAATAAACTATTAGACTGGAAGAGTGTTTTTTCCAGTTTTCAGATCATCAAAGCCACTTGCTACCCATGTTTTTGGTTGGTTTTTTTTTGTTTGTGGTTTTTTTTTTTTTTTTTTCAGATAACATGGAGTTTTCTTCTGAAGAATGCTGTCTTCCAAACAAGGACTCGGCCAATTCTCAAGTTTAATCTGCTTTACCACACTGCAGAACGTATTTGGTAGGCAGACTTGTTCTCATGTTCCTCAAAGGTGATGGGCCTGACCCAATTCTTAACAAGCTCTTTAATGAGGCTCCTTAGATTTTGACCTGTAACATGTTGGTGTCTGTGCAGTTCAGGTCACAGGTATATGAGTACAGGACTGTACAGGCAGTTAGAAGGTAATGTCCAAGCCACAAAATCTGAGGTTTATTTGAATTTGTTACAAAACCTCCGTGTTTGAATGTCTAAAACAGCGATATACCTGCTATTCTGCTTTCATTTTGCATGTGGTTATTGTGGTCACGCACAGTACAGTGACTCTCCAGTAGTAAAATTCTTGCAGTCTCTTGAAAATCCAGCATTATGCCCTGCTCTCTTTCCTGAGCACTTTTCTATCCCTATATGTGCCTTCTGGATTTGACATGATGTACTAGTTCCTTCCTGTACAATTTCTCCTTCCTGTGTGCCACCAGCAGGAACACTGGTACAGTGCACAAAAGCGTGAGCCCGAATGTGCCTGTTGGAGCCCAAGCCTTTTGTGGCACTAAAGCAGTAGATGGAGCTCACATCCCAAAGGTTGCTTTCAGTGACCGCCTGCCTCCTGCCCAGTAATGTGCTCCCCGAACCTTGTTCATGTGCCCCTGTGTTCCCACTGCACAGCAGAGACGAGGTAGAAAACCCATCCGTGATGCTGGTGCATGATGCACGTCTCTTCCCCATTCTAGGTGAAGGTCTCCTCATCTTAATGTATGGCTCTAGCAAACAGTTTAAATCTTCCTAGACTCCAGTCTTCTCATACTGGCAGCAAATATCATAGGCTCAACCCTGCAAACTGCTCTGCTGCTGGAACCTTGGAGGAAGAACCTCACAACATGTAACTTTACAGTTTTGATGCCAAAAACTGTATTAAAGCGTTTGGGAAGTCAAGTAGGCAAAATTTAGGAAAATCCTAGAAGTTTGTCTTGCAAACTTTAATTCAGTCCCAACCCAATGCCTGAAGATGTTTGCATGTTTAATTACAACGTCAGGTGCTTTTTCCTGGATAAAGCTACCCTGCTAAAGGGCAGTGCTCTATTACATCAACGTGGAGGGGAGGAAGCTCGGAATGAGATTGCTGGTTTCTCCTGTGTTGGAGAGTGTGATAACTGAGGCAAGTGAGTATGGCCCATAAAGGAGGAATTTGTTTCTGCCTCAACTTCAGGCAGGAGTTTCTTTAGTAATTCTAGGCAAGCCCTGTAGATGACAATCTGACATGCAACTGGTAGCTGTATATTGTGGGTGAACAAGCTGAGGTACCTGGAACCTGACTTGCTGACAGGCACTCGCCAGATGAATTGTAAGAACAAAGCTGGGTCAGGATGCTGAAAGTAGAAATAGAAGTATTATAGTTAAACTTGAAAATGCTTAAAATGTTGCAAGTAATGAAAAAAGATTTCTTAAAAAGGCAAGCATTTTGTTCAACCTCAGATGTTGTGATTTTTTTAAATGTTCTATGTCTAAAACATTGAAAAATCTAAATGAGCTAAGAATGAAATGAAAGTAGGAGAAATTAACAATTTTTATCAGTGCAATCAAATCGGCATTTTTTTTCCCTTTAAATATTTTAGACTATAAGTTTTGACAGCTGCTGCACATAAGAGCAACCAACATTAATGGGCACTTCTGTCTAGCCTAGTGAGGTCAGAGCTCTGAGGTAAGACTTTCTTATTTTATAGGAAACACTGAGATGCAGTTGATAGATAGCCTAGAATAGTTGATGAGCAAAAGTACTTGAGAGTTCCATATAATAAATACTGTGGGAAACCATTAACTCGCAGGGACAAAAACACAAAGCACTTGCTTTGATAGCAAGGTATCCTGAGATGTCTTCAGTGAGGGAAGAACACCACAGACCCTGAACAGTGTGTATGTAGAAGAAAGTTAAAGGTTGAATGGCAGGCTATAGTCTCAAGTTTTTTACTTTCAAATAATCATGTAACTAAGTGTTTAAATGTTCTTTGTATGATATTTTATGTACTTGCCTGCATAATTGCTTTGAAGCAGCAAATGTTTTGCAAGGATAGTGATATACCTTCAAAGGGCAGTTTCTAAACATAAGCGTTTACTGAAGAGACCATAGAGTCTTCCCCTCTGTTTTAATTAGAGGATTATGGCATGCTCCCTCATATCCTAAAACCACTATATTTCTTATGTTCAGGACTGATCTTTTTTCATGGTCTACTGAAATGAAAGCCATCTTTTTTTCCATCAGCTTTATAGACTTTAAAGCCAATCTGCTGCTTCATAGGGAATTAACTAAAGGGGGAATGAACAAAATAGTCACAATCAGTAAAGGCAGCAATTTGATTACTGAACAGATGAATGGTGAATGTACAGCCTTGCTTAAAAGAGCAATAAAACCTGTGGGTAGAAAGGTTGTAGCTGGAAGGTTGCATGCGAACAGAGGCAGCCAGTATGGAAAGGTAAGAGCACAGTAGCAAAAACCTTAGCACTGACCATCCTATAAAATTAGGGTTTGAAATGGTGGTTGTGAAATGAAAGAGGTTGTAAGGTGGTTTAGCTATTCCCTGCTGGCCTGAGTAACATTTTCACAGGACACAAAGAATGCCTTTGTGCTGTTCCACTTAACTTGCTTCCAGAATGGATTGAAAAAGATATTTTTTTGCAGGATAAGCACAGTGAGCAAGTACAAAATACTGTGCGTGGCTCTTTCCACCCTTAAACCCCCTGGAGGACGCTTTCAAGAAACTCTGCAGATGCTGTCAGAAACAAGCAGTTCTTTTGTTCATGTTGCAGAGGCTCTCAAGATAAACAGATAGCAATTAATAAAATGGATTTTAATACAATCCGGTGGCACTCCACGAAACATACAAACGGCTGATCTGAATCAGAAAGGAAATCAGTGAGAGGAAAATTAAACTATTACTACACAAACTCTTAGGATTTAAAGATAATCCAAAACGCTTGGTCACTCACCTAAAAAGTGAGGGCTCCCAACCTCAAGGAATTTTTCTGGGCAGCGTCCTGACCCAGAGGGGAAACCTCAAGGAGTTTCCTTGGGTGGCATCCCACCCCAAGGGGAGAGTCCTCAACCGTAGCACACTGCTCCGGAGGGGGCTGGCTCGAAATGGCTCCCCTAGGGGACTTGAGTTATATCCAAGCCGAATCTGATCTGTGGTCAATATCTGCCCTTACTGGCTGAGGGCCCCAATTACTGTAAAGCCCCGAGAACAAGGGCATGGAAAAAATAGAAATCGGTGACCACTACATTTCAGCAGCAGCCAGGAAGCCCCCTTTTCATCGGGTGGGTGCACCTGCGACAGTTCATTACTTAGAAAGTGCTGGTGCAAAACTCTGCAACCTGAAGCCAGAACTGAAGAGTGCCCAACGTAGCTCCATCAGGTTGCTGGGATTTTTTTTCCAAGTGGCAGGAAGCAAGCAGATTGAGATAACCTTTAGTGCCACATGTGAAGAGATGGTCTGCGATAGTGGATTCCACAGCACCTACCCTTAAAGTTTTTCCTTTATGTTCTTCCATTTTAATATAAGCTCAGTGAGGGTGTATGTGAGGAATATTTACTTTTAGCAACTATTGAAGTTTAGTAGGGTTTTTCTAACAAGAAATAATTAAATATGTGGGGTTTTTATAAGTAGGCTTACACCTGGGTGTTGTGGTAGTCAAGTTTTCTGTCTCTATGAAAATGGACTTTGTCTCCTACAAGACTTGTTGCAGAGATCTTGTGAGTGAAAACCAAGTATGAATCCCCACAGTTCCCAGGTGACACCCTGCCTGCCAAGTAAAGAAATTCTAGATTGTGCAGGTTTGTCTAGCATAATTTTTAGTGAGGATTTTGTTGGCTCTAGCTGCGAGCACTCTGTTTTGTGTCCCACTGGACAATGATCCTATTGTTTGCTTTTCTGAGCATCCCAGTATGGAGATGACCTAGAGGTCAGATAATGAAAATTGTGGTCTGGTTTGTTCTGTGGTGCTCCTTTGTGGTGACACTGCTTTCTAAGGCTTATGTAAATTTTAGTTTTTCACTAACTTTTTCAATTGATTTAATAATTGTCTTTTAAAAAAATGTGTGTGGAAATATTTCCCCAAGTCAATGCTGGAGATTGAATTTTGTATCAGCTCACTTCTGAGATGTTTTTTGACTCTGTTCTGGTTCAGGCTCAGCTGCATCTGATGTTACTCTACTTAAAACAGTAAGAGTCCCGTGCTTGATGTGGTTACCCGGAATGTGCTCAAAATTATGTGTGTTGGAAAATAAAACATCTATGAACGGGATGGCTCACAGCAGGTGGGCCCTCACAGTGATGCTCCCCCCTCACCAGATATCATCCCAGCTCCCCTTCGCACATGTGCTATTTTTTTTCCCTATCGTGGATCATGCCTTCGCAGGCATCACCTGGAAGACATACGCTGGCTCTTGGGAAGTAAAACAGCAGATGTGCTAGCTGAGATCTCGGAACCAAGGAGCTCAGGTGGTGCTGTAGGGTGCTTCTCGGGGCACCCACTTCTACACCGTGGGACTGAGGGAACTGAGCACAGCAACTCTTCTCTGTTGCAACAGCATAGCCAGTGCTTCCCCCAAAGAAGGTGCCAAAGTTCCTGTGCTGAAAAACACTTTCTGTGGTCTTTGGAGCAGCCCGGTAAAGCCACAGGGTGCAGAAGTGGGTTTTGATGTTGCACATGCTGGTGTGAATCATGTACATGCTTCCAGCCAGGACCCAAATTCCACATCGTCAGAGCTCTGCACCACATCAGTGCAACAGGCAAGAGGTTCCTGTTCATTCATTAAGGAGCAACTCACCCAAAA